CATGCACGACGGAGCGTTTCATTTACGCGGAAACGCTCCGAAGCAAAATAAAATGGCGGCTAATGAAGATTCTACTATGACCGTAAATATTGTTTTACTCGTTTCTCTTACATATCATACGTCATGGGGACATATTATGTACCATTCGATGAACAATACCGTGAGCAAAGATCTAATTTATTCAACTTCTGGTGGTAAACTGTTATTTGCTTGATCAAAGCTCCGTAGTGTAGATCGAACGAATCTGAAGTAGACGGATTGACCACAAATTACGAATTAAACTAGTATTTATAAGAAGACGTCAATCTTTTTGTCAAAGTAGTCGATCACAAACTCGTATATTCTCATTTCCTAAAATCCCAGTCAAAATCCATTACTTGTTCTCGAGAAATCGCTTGTTTTCCTCGAAACGCTCCGTCGATTTAGGACACAATTTTAGAAATGCTCTTACCATTTTGTTTTGATATCATTTTCAGATTATTGGAGAAGAGTTCGGAATCGAATTTATCTCTCAAAAACCTGTTGTACTTGTTAGGTAAATTGAAACGTCCGAACCTGGTGGTGCTAAACTTGCAACTAGCTGACTTAAGCCTACATTAGATGATATCATATGCCTACATGTGTGCTAAAACATAAAACTATTGAAAAAAACGAAAAAATAATTTTGATGCCAAGGGATATAATATATCTTTTCTTTCTCTTCCTGAAAAGGAAAGTCAAGCTATATATTTCCTAAACAGACCCCACTTCAACATTCCAGGTTTAGAAAACGTATCCCATAATAAATTCACGATCCTATCAGGCTTATGTGATACCTTATACCTTCACATACCTTATGCAAGTTCAATTGGCAATAAAATGAACATTTTTGAACTTTAAACACATTTATTAGTGATTTTACAAACTGAATACAGTACATTTCATGGTATTGACACTTTAAATTATACGCAATCTATGTTTTAGCTTATTCGAATATGTGTGTGAAACATCGTTAGTTAGCGATTTCTATTGCGTCACTTATTACAGTGTGAATTTCAGATTGCACCAATTGAACATCAATTCTCTTTTACTAATGAAGTCTTTTCAAAGAACTTAATCTCTAATCAGTTTCAATTAGACTGCAGTTCACTTTGTGCTTATCAATTACCTAGAAGAGGCTACTGCCTTGTCCACGCTATTACGTGTAATGGATGTGACATTATCATTCTTTATTTAACAGGCATTTATTTGCATTCGAAGTCCACGATGACCAAATAATCTTTTTTTAGTACTCAACCTTCTTCGGTAAATATGTTGCAAATTCAATCATGCTCTTAGTAGCATTATATGGCAATAAAAACCCTTCTTAACTAGTATTAATACCCCAAGAACCACCATCAGAATCATGACCTTCAATTAGCTTCTTTCTAGCAGTCTCCGAGCCTTTCGTCCAGTGCAATGAAGGTACGCAATGAACGAAATGAATTTTGAGAATGTCTTTCTCGTTGAAGGCAGAACGATGTGATGAGTACTAGTATCAGAATTGTATAATTATGTACAGGGTGAGCCAAAAAAGTAGACCAAACAAATGTTGATTATTCAGTCATTCAGTATGGCTTAAGTGTCATGTTTGTCACAATTGAACCTTTAATGCTCCTTTTACAAGTTTATTTTGTCACTGCCAATGGTCGCGATTTTATGGCCATTTTGCAAAACTTGCTATTGTCTGGACCTGTAGGCTCACTTGAACGTATCGGGCGTAGTTGTTCCTTACACGAGCACAGCCATCTTGTGTTATGGCTTTCATCTCCCTTCTTATTTCCTGTTTCAAGGGTGGGTTGTGTAGAATAGATATTAGTCCCACAGATAAATATCTGTTGGGAAAGATCAGACTGAAAATAAAAGTTTTGTTTGTTGTGAAAAGTTGAGATTTTTTTAAAAAATGAAAGATTTTTTCTGTCTTAGGTAAAAACACAGGGAAATGTCATAAATCTTAACATGGTTTGCATTTTTAATCTATATGATGTATCAACATTATATTATAACCTTTAAAGCATCTTGGCTTGCCAAAGGGATGGTGTATTTGCACCAAATATAACAAGGTGTCTTAGGTCACATCCGTAATCATTTAAATAAAGGATACCTTAATAATGATATTTTGGTGAAATATGATTGAGAAGTGAGCTGTACCTTTAATATACCTAGCTGGTCCCTAAATGAATTGAATATAGTGGAAGTGTAACTCGAAACTGTAGTCTAGCAGACTTGTATAACCAAGCAGCACCTTGGGCAGCATGGTATGAAAGATATGTCAAACAGATAAAACAAAAAATGAAATCTCAAAGCAGAGGTACATTGAGTGATGAGGAAAGTGTTATCATGATTGTTAATTATCTTATATTATTGACAGCATTATAAGACCTGATGATCAACCCCTAATTCTGGACAGACATGATGATTCCATCAGTAATGACACGGAAACAATTGCTAAAGGTGAACCTCCAGATTTATTGGACTTCAATTTTGATGTCTGATATTAATGATGAACAACCATCTACTAATAGTACTTGTAAATAAACAATTCCACATTTGGAGAAAAAATATAGAGCAGTGAAATGGATTGAAAGTATAATACCTATAACAATTGAAAAGAAAACTGGGATCATTTATAACTTCAATCATCACATACAGCCTAAGAAATTCCTCTTTGATAAAGAAGAAAAAGGAAAAGCAGCAATATGTGATAAAAGTATCAAGGGGTTGCTAAAATAACTCCATTGTTCAGAAATGTTAATTGCTTCCTAATTTGAATGTAATTTTCAGGTACAAATACCTCATTCTATCAGGTTCTACATTTTCAGTCTTTCACAAAGCACATGTTTTCATCGAACCATAAAATGATTCATCGTAATTAACGACAGAAAACTGAATAAGATAAAGGGAAGAAAGTAAAAAAAAATTAGAATTAGAAAGATGTAACGAAAATGAATTGAAAGAAACTTTACTATTTCCCAATCAGAGCATTAGTTCTCAATGTATAGTTAAGCCCTAGAAAGAGTCTTCCCTTAAATCAGTACCAACCCCCAAGAACCTCTGTTGTGAATGGATCTACGTAATCAGAAAAAATGAAAAGGTCCCAAAACTGCATAAAATATAAGCATATGGATACTGATGTTAAATTAAAATTGCATTGGGTGATAATAAGTGACTTATAACTGAGTATAGTGGATTTGTTACATTTAAACTGATGTGTCACATCCGTAATCAGATTCATTTTTCGTTCTGCACAAAATTATTTCAATGCATTGGACCATACGAGACTGCTACCAATTTGCATTTCATTTAGAGGAGATAAGTCCTCTCCTTTCATAAAAAATAAAAATTGTTTTGAAAGCCCAAGTAACAAACAAGAGGAGGGAAAGCCCCAGAGTTTCAAGATGACAGACATAATTACCTCTCTTGCTTACCACCTTCGTTCCACGCTTCGTTCGTTCGAATTTTCATCGGCTAGTTATCAAATACTACACTTCGATGGGATGTTATAATTGATATAGGCATATTGCGTACACCTTTCTTTATCTTGATGTGAAATGAAAAGCTATGATATTGGTTAACACGCCAGAAATGAACATAATATTATTCGAAGCGTATTTCGAAAATTTTGAAACCGCCATTGATGACGTCATTTGTTTGTCGACTTTTGACCAATCAGCGACCGTGTCATCTCAATACAGATTTACATTATAAGCGTATGTCATCTTTGAACCCTGGTGTTTCTCCCCCTCTGGTAACAAACATATGAGAAACGAAAGTGCAACAAATATTTGGCAAAAAATGTTTCAGATTTCAGTTTTTATTTTGTCTTATTTCTACAAGACAAAGTTAATTTTCACTAAACTTTTTACTATTGTGTTAACCAAGACATTATGCTATAATATTAAAAACCATTTTACTGAATGTAAGATTTTGTTAATAAGTCTTCTGACAGTTTAAAATATTAAAGTCACATCCGTAATCAAAATTTAGTCATAGATAGAACATGATGCCAACTTTTTTCCTGCGATAATACTTTAAAATCCTTCAGGAATTATCAGGGTAATATATTATATTTTTAAAAGATACAATGATTTAAAAGATTTTCTAATGTCTAAATTTGACCCTGTTTGCAACATACTGATGCAGAATACTGTGATTTGGCTGATAGCATGAGTTACGTTCTGACGTATATGAGGGTTGCTTTAAAGCCAATTTATCTCTTGAGCGCCATCAATGAGGGACATGAACTGGTAAAAAAGCCATGTACTATCTCTTAAACAGATCTACATGTGTGTGATATTGGGTGACACCACTCCATTTAAGACAAGTCTTGAAGTTGCACACACTACATTGAACGCCTCCATCGTCGCTTAAAATGTATCCTTTTAGCCATTTCTTAAATAGTACTCCAATTTACATTACATCTTCCTGTTGCAGATGCGACATTAATCATCTCCATCACCTTTTAGCCATGCGCCATCTCATTCCCTTCAACATAAGATCTTCTCCTGTTGCAAATACTACATTGATCATCTACATGACCCTTCTCTTACTATATCATTTTAGCCATGCGCCATCTCATTCCTTTCAACATTGGATCTTCCTGTTGCAGATACTACATTGATCATCTACATGACCATTATCTTACTATATCATTTTAGCCATGCGCCATCTCATTCCTTTCAACATTGGATCTTCCTGTTGCAGATACTACATTGATCATCTACATGACCATTCTCTTACTATACCATTTTAGCCATGCGCCATCTCATTCCTTTCAACTTTTAATCTTCCTGTTGCAGATACTACATTGATCATCTACATGACCATTCTCTTACTATACCATTTTAGCCATGCGCCATCTCATTCCTTTCAACTTTCAATCTTCCTGTTGCAGATACTACATTGATCAACTCCATCACCATTCTCTTAATATATCATTTTAGCCATGCACCGTCTCATTCCTTTCAACATTAGATCTTCCTGTTGCAGATACTACATTGATCATCTCCAACATCCCTTTAACTGATTTCTCTCATCTCCTAGTCGATCATCTGTTCAAGACAACTCCAATTTACAATGAAGCCGGCCTGATGTTGCAGATACTACATGTTTCCCCCCATCTTAGACCTCAGAGTCCAAAAGTGTCTTATCTTAAAATCAGATTACTTTTAGATTGATTTGTTTTTGATTTAAAGACTCATCACGTTCACCATTTAAAAAAGACACGAACTCAAGACTCAAACAACTACAGTCTTTAATTAAAGTCTTGTCCAGTGAAGTTTACAGCCATAGTACTTGTATACGACATACAATCCAATTAGAGTTAATACAATCAAAAGCACAGGCCAGAATATCAAATGGAATGCTGCTACTTTTGGATCATCGTAACGCCTTCTTAAAATCACCTCCTCTGGATCATCTTTATTAAACCAACACTTGTACATTTGTCCATGTCGTCCATGAAGTCTTTGAAAATTCAAAACTTGTTGCTCATTCAGCCAGGCAGAACCATCACAGAACTCAAACGAGCACTGAAAATAAAAATGCGAATGATTATTATCTAAAGGGTATTTTAAAACATACATGGTATTTATATGTCACAATCAAAAGTGATGGCATATCGTTATGGCCTCCAACCTTTTTGTGGTGGCGGTCGGCGTCCGGCGTCCATAAAAATGACAGGTGATGACAAGCAGCTGCAAGTTAATGTCTTGTATTTCACTTGCAGCTGAATTGCCTTCTGTATTGTAAGTTCTTTTGGATTTTTCCCAATTGATTTTTCTATCCAATTACGTGAGAAGGTCTCTTCCATAGTAGCTTTATATGAGACTGAATATCACCTTCTGGCTTCAGACATCGCTTGGGTACAATTAATAAAAAAGATTCCGAAAGATAATTAGAAAGTGTCAAATCGTGAAAGATGTAATATCCTTACTCAACCTTTAAAAGTTACTTTGCTCCATGTAATATCGTGATTCCGGTGCATTTATACTAGATGTATACGTAATTGTTGGTGATACATTTTTGTAAGCATCGTTAATTGTTTTATAATGTAAGACCTCGTGCCAAAAGAAGTAAGGGCAAAATGTGATAAGTACAATGCAGAAGAGGGATATAAGGGGGGATTCGAGAGTCTAACGCAAATTATTCCCAGATCTTTTGTTGAAATAAAATCTGAACGAAAAAAAACAACATAGTGGTGATGACCCGGGGGTGATGGGATCTCACATTCAATGGGTAAACAAAAGTCAAATATATTAGTTATGCCCCGACAGTTAAGAATGAGACTAGACCAAGCGATTAGGGAAAGAGACGATGATGACAGTATCTCCAATTGGATTTAGAATCTGTCAGAAGGTGCTATCAGAGCAATCTATCTCAAAGAGCCTAATGTTGTTAATATAAAATTATAGCCGGCATGTATTGCAGTCAACCTCCCTGTGGAGATACCTAACCATTATTTCATTCATAGCGAACCTGAAAATTTATCGTTCCACCGAGAGTAGATTAAGCACTTCAAGTCAGGAATGGGGAAATAAAACGGATGTGCAAAAGTTGAGATGCATTGAATTAGATACGAACCCATTTCTACCTGGTCAAAATGTTCAAAGTCATTTGTTCAGTTGCAGTTACAGAAGCTTCAGTCACATTTGCTCTACGGTGGCCGTATAGCGGCCGTAGCTTCACAAAATCGATAAAGAATTTAAAATCGATATCGTACATGCTTAATAGTGCTTATCCCTATATTTTATGCTGCATGTTTCTCTCGCTCGATTTCGGGAAGCTACGGCCGCCGAATGTCCCATGCCATGGGATTGTTTATTATATTTTATTCTCTTAAATGTTTTAATACCTGTTGGTCTTATCCCACATTATCACAAAAATATTGCTGAGGCATTTGTTTATCAAATTTCGTACTGTTTTAATACCTGATGGTATTTTCCATTATTACAAAAATATTGGATGAAACGTATTTTAAAAACGCTGTATGTAAATCATTTAATAGCGTTACAAGGTTTTATGAAAACAAATCCCCAATATCCTAAAAGTACGCTCCAACTGTGAGAGGTTATGAAATAATTGATTCTGGATAGCATATACCCACGAGATGAGAGTATAAAAATACGACAGAATGGACCAATATAACATTCCTATCAAATTGCATTTTATACAGTGATGACCTGTTAAAATAGTCGTCGTAAATAACATCGGCCTATTTCACAAATAATACTGGGATATGTGATTATAGGCTCCAGAGTTTTATATGATTGATTAGTCTATAGAGTTGTAAACGACACTTGGACACCACTCCATGGTATATGGTCTTCGCATCACTAATGGACTAAGAGTGCTAAAAACCTCTCTCTGGTATTATCATTTGTAATGACAACAATAAAGTTGATATAATGTGAACTTTCAGAACACTCGAACGAGGAGTGAATATGCACCTTGGGACTCTCAATATAGAAGAACGTTGATGATAAAGCACAAGGGCATACACCGAAACGACCATGCCTCATTTGTTTGCCCTCATTCTCCATGGGGAATTAGTTACGAAATTCCCTCAACAACCATTATATTTTATATGTCTCTGGAAATTAATTTGAGACAAACCCGCCATTCTCCATTGCTTAGTGAAAGACGTTGTAACCGATTTTTTGGGAGATTTCAATAACATTAGGTATTAAAAATGTGGTCAATCTGTATCCTCTTATTCGTTCAACTGTTCAAGACATCGTTTGATTTGATGAGATAAAGACTGAACAATTTAGCGCAAAAATATATTATCCCTGAATGGGAAAATCAACTACATCTGCTTGTATTCATCTGAATCCAATCAGTTTGGTTCTATATTAAATCAAACACGTCTGAACCATCTATCATTCATCCATTCTCATCCTGGTACTTAACGGCTGAATAAATGAAGTCGTGTCATAGAAAAATGACCCGAGAATTACAAGAGACTTAATTAGAATTGGCTTATACGCCAACTCAGAATGAAGTACATATTTTCATCTCATATTTATGCATAAAATACTCTAAATAATAAAAATAAAAACCAAAAATGCACTGAACTGAGTGAATATTTTACGACACAATGTCGTAGAATGAAAGTACTTTCCCGGGAATTATATGACTAGGGGTTACATTTTGTGTTAAGCCACACGTTTTTAGGATAAGCTTAAGCTTGTCCGTGAACTTGTAGAATTACCGTCGTCTTGGGATTACTTCTCATTGTGTAGTAGTGTTTACTTGCCCGAAGAGTTTGAAGGTGTAATTGGATAGGATTTTTAGGATTTTGTAAAATTCTGGTCATCTTGAGATTAATTCTCCATTTTGTCGTATTTACTTGCCCGAAGAGTTTAAAGGTGTAATAACGCAAATGCGAGTAGGTAGTTACCACTTTCACCACCAGGCGGCTCGCTCGGGTCAGATAGCATGGCGGGTATAGTAGAAAGTTCCCTTTAACTTAAATTACATCTGTTTTAGTGGTTCAATTTTCATATAGCCCTTATGTATCGAATAGTTATGCAAATTAAAGTATGTCCAGTAAAAGAAAATGTTATATGTCCAATACAAGAAAATATATTTCACTTTTTGTGATTTTGTAATATGCGGTCTATGGGGAATCAACCCGAACTAGAAGTCACATTTTCAAAAAAGATTAATTTTTCAAAGTTCATAAACACTTTTCGAAACCATATTTTTAGATGTATTTTTACATGTGGACTTCAAATATGACATTACTTTGACTGAATTTTGAATATTTAATGAGGTAAATCAAGATAATTTCTACTCGCATCTACTCTATTGGATAGGATTTTTAGGATTTTGTAAAATTCTGGTCATCTTAGGATTTATTCTCCATTTTGTCGTATTTACTTGCCCGAAGAGTTTAAAAGTGTAAATAAGATTGTTTTTTGTAAAATTCTGGTCGTCTTAGGATTAATTCTTCATTTTGTAATATTTATTTGCCAGAAGAGTTAAAAGGTGTAAATAAGATTGGGTTTTTGGAGAAATTGAATTGAGATGAGGAACTGTAATCTCCGAAGGTCACATATTACATGTTCAAACAAAGCTGGACAAGGTGTGCCTGATTCCAGCCAATCCGAACACAGTATTTCACATGACAGTAGTGCATGAAATAATCAATAACGCACTCAAGGTCACTAGTTAAGCAGTTGTCATTGTGATGAATGGACTTTTCACATTGGACTCGATAATTTGCCAACTTGCACTTTCATCGAAAATTTGTTCTTTTAGTGATTTCGTTCCGTTTAGATGATTTTGTAGAAAATATTTTGCAATGTGCGAAAATAATTTAACCTCTTGACTACCTAGAGTGACTAGATTTCTCGTCACCTTATAGAAATGAAAAATTCTCTGGTTTCACAACGATTCTAGAGCCTGGGATTCAAGAGGTTAAGCCCAAGACTCAATGCATTGTAGCTGCTTCATTCCACCTAGGCTTTGTTTCCTAAACTTTGCATTCCCGCTGCGCGACCATGCAAAGATTTGGAAACAACACCTTCATGGTATGATTCAGCAAACAATGCACTGATTCCAGGGCTTAAATCCTTAATTCACGTCATTCTCTTAAAACGTGCATCAAATGCTTACTAATGAAGAACTAGATGCTGAAGAGGATAGTGTTAACCCGACTAGTAAACCCACTAAAGGTATAATAGATAAAGCGGCAATAAATCACAGATGCTAATGTTATTAGATCGGGGATTAGAGGGCTTTGCGTATTGGCTTCTTTATTGCAAACTATGAACATCTACGCTTAGTCATCCATTCGTCTAAAGGTATGGCTGTCTCCTTCATTTCATAATTGCAATTCAGTTTTGAACAAAATACCCAATTCATTCTTGGTCCAAGGGTATTTCAGTGTATCCCATTGAACTGTGAACTGAGACAGGGGTGCCCCGAACTTGAAGGATGCCGACTCAATCGGCCGGGCACTGGATTGAAGATGATCTGGGCAAATCTGACCACGGCATAAATAAGGCGTAAACTAGGTCAGGGTGACTTAAGGGTCACCCGTGTTTGGTACGTTCTTGGTTATTCTTAAAAAATCAGTATTTCTTTAACAAAACTTCAAAATGCTGGACCATGATATCTTTGCACATACTGACATACATGTAGGTCTGTCTTTCACGAAATAAAATTTTTGTTGCAGTACCTCGAGAAAAAATAAGAATTAGCATTTTCAAACTTACAGTGATATTTTGTAAAGCAAGTGTGCAACAATATATAGTCGTTTTTAAGTTATGTAATTTATTTTTTATTTTTAAGCGTTTTTCGTCGGTTTTAATTGTTTTTTTGTCATTACGATTTCATTTTGAATTGCTTTAAAATCATAGAACGTACGTGCAGTCTCATTGTTTACGTTAGAGGTTCTGAAATATCATACAATAAATAACAGTCCAGACAGCTTCGGCATATGAGAGATATAGAACCATTACATGGCGATATATTTTATATGTCTTATGTTCACACATTTTATATCATGTATAATCGCCAAACG